ACCCACAGGCATAACACCAGACACAAACATCTCTACGACATTCCCCGTGTCCGACTAAACCTTTACAAAAATTCAATGTATGTCAAAGTCCCTAAAATCTGGAATACCCTACCTGAGAACTCTAAAACTGCAGACACATTCATCACCTTCAAAACTACCATTAGAAAACATCTTATCTCCCTGATACACCCCGTCAACTAACTATACGAATACCACCTGGTGGTTCACACTTTCACTCACTCATTTGACCATAAACAGAAATATTAATCTCAATCTTAAAATAATGAATCCTGTGATACTCCAATACTGAAACTATGTACTGTGCCAAAACAAAAGCATTCACATTGCTAAACTCACAAACTAGTATTTAGTCACTTAGACATAATACCAACTTACCTCATAATTTGTAATATTTTACAATTAAGAATAAAACTAAGTCTGCTCATTACTCTATAATTTGTTCATGATTGTAGCCAAAGTATAAACGTAAGTATGTAGCCAAAGTATAAACGTAAGTAACCATTCTACAGAATTCATTACCTTTGTAACTTGTGAGCTCATTACCTTTGTACCTAGTTCAGCTATCAAAACTTTGGGGGCCCAGTCCCTGGACCCATTACGTACCTCTGTAATCTGTAAATACCTTTGTAACTTGTCATGATTGTGACCAGACTTACCTGGAGTTCATTACCTTTGTAAATTGTGAGTTCATTACCTTTGTAAATTGTGAGTTCATTGCCTTTGTAAATTGTGAGTTCATTACCTCTGTAACTTGCTCAGCTATCAAAACTTTGGAGTCCAGTCCCTGGACCAATTATGTACCTCTGTAATCTTTTGACTACCGCCCACAGGATGGGTATGTGGTGCATAATAAACATATTAAACTAAATGCCCGAAATGCCTAGCCATGCTAAGCGTTCTAGTGGTACACTCTGTAATCACTATTTTACTACATGTAAACAACACAATAACCAAATTTCTGTAAACTCAGCATTGTAATCCTTATAGAGAATAAACTTTGAATTTGAATACCTTGCAGGCAAGTTATGGCTGTCATCCCAGGCACAACCTGAGGACCACTACATTCAAGCCCCCCCCCCCACTCTCTACCTGTATTTTTGGGGGGTTTCTAACCCAGCAGGGTTAATAATCCCATTTCCAATAATAACAATGCAAATCAACCCCCCCCCCCTTAACTATACTCATCAGATGTTAGTGACCTTTCTGCCGACTAACACTTCAGATCACAGAGGTTTTCATTATTTTCATCATTAATGTCTGCTGCCAGAAGTGTTACACTAAACTACTTACAAACTATCAAACCAACTGCAGTTCTCAATACTTTTATATTCATAGGAATCTGAACACCGCTTAAATTTTCCAAAATGATTACACAATTTTCACTCAATGAATCAATATTTAACTTTGGACAGTTTGGCCAAAGGCATAAAAAACGTAGAACACCCACCACAACCACTACCCAAGCCCGAAACCCACAAAAATCCCCACTGAAACCATGTACAATAACAGATTGCAGACAGCTACTGAAGGTCGTTGGTGGGTTCCCAGGCCAACAGTTCTACGTAATCTATGTCTTCAGGGGAGATTACTCTCCCCTGCTATATGCATTCATAATGCATATAGCAGATGCTCCAATTATATACCTTATCTATCCTACTTGACGCTATCTAAATTTATAAGTTATTTTGATAGGAGAAACTGGAGTATGTTGCATACTCCAGGTATACCTGGAGTATGTTGCATACTCCAGGTATACCTGGAGAATGTTGCATACTCCAGGTATACCTGGAGAATGTTGCATACTCCAGGTATACCTGGAGTATGCTGCATACTCCAGGTATACCTGGAGTATGTTGCATACTCCAGGCATACCTGGAGAATGTTGCATACTCCAGGTATACCTGGAGTATGCTGCATACTCCGGGTATACCGGGAGTATGTTGCATACCCCCAGGTATACCTGAGAATGTTGCATACTCCAGGTATACCTGGAGTATGCTGCATACTCCAGGGGTCCAGGTACAGGGCTTACTAATATGAAGACGAGTAGTGGCGCAAGGGAGGATGAAGGAAGGTGAAGGTAAAAATAAAGGGGGGTCTAGGTAAGATAAAGGGGGGTCTAGGTAAGATCAAGGGGGTCCTGGGTAAGACCAAGGGGTCTAGTAAGACCAAGGGAGTCTGGGAAAGACCAAGATAAGATAAGATAAGATTTCGTTCGGATTTTTAACCCCGGAGGATTAGCCACCCAGGATAACCCAAGAAAGTCAGTGCGTCATCGAGGACTGTCTAACTTATTTCCATTGGGGTCCTTAATCTTGTCCCCCAGGATGCCACCCACACCAGTCGACTAACACCCAGGTACCTATTTGCTGCTAGGTGAACAGGACAACAGGTGTAAGGAAACGTGTCGAATGTTTCCACCCGCCGGGAATCGAACCCGGGCCCTCCGTGTGTGAAGCGGGAGCTTTAGCCACCAGGCCACCGGGCCAAGGGACCAAGGGAGTCTAGGTAAGACCAAGGGAGTCTAGGTAAGACCAAGGGAGTCTAGGTAAGACCAAGGGAGTCTAGGTAAAGACCAAGGAGTCTAGGTAAGACCAAGGGAGTCTAGGTAAGACCAAGGGAGTCTAGGTAAGACCAAGGGGGTCTAGGTAAAACCAAGGATCTAGGTAAGACCAAGGGGGTCTAGGTAAGACCAAGGGAGTCTAGGTAAGACCAAGGGAGTCTAGGTAAGACCAAGGGAGTCTAGGTAAGACCAAGGGAGTCTAGGTAAGACCAAGGGAGTCTAGGTAAGACCAAGGGAGTCTAGGTAAGACCAAGGGAGTCTAGGTAAGACCAAGGGAGTCTAGGTAAGACCAAGGGATCTAGGGAAGACCAAGGAGTCTAGGGAGATGAATCAGCCTACAAAGTCTGTAAATATAAAACTGTATAACCCCATTTCAAAACGAATGCCCCCCCCCCCGACGCTCTAATACAAACTCTGGCGTCATAAGCGCTAAACCCAAAATTATGCTTCTGTAAATATTTTTGTGACTTCTAAGCATAAAATTACTTGGCCAGGTTCTTCAGGTACCACCACTTGTCCAGGTTCTTCAGGGACCACCCCCTTGTCCAGGTTTTTCAGGTACCACCACTTTTCCAGGTTCTTCAGGTACCACCACTTGGCCAGGTCTTCAGGTACCACCACTTGTCCAGTTCTTCAGGTACCACCACATGTCCAGGTTTTTTCAGGGACCACCACTTGTCCAGGGTTCTTCAGGTACCACCACTTGTCCAGGTTCTTCAGGTACCACCATTTTTTCCAGGTTCTTCAGGTACCACCACTTGGGCCAGGGTTTTTCAGTACCCCCACTTGGCCAGGTTCTTCAGGTACCACCACTTGGCCAGGTTCTTCAGGTACCACCACTGGCCAGGTTTTTCAGGGACCACCACTTGGCCAGGTTCTTCAGGGAACACCACTTGTCCAGGTTTTTCAGGGACCACCACCTTGTCCAGGTTCTTCAGGTACCACCACTTGGCCAGGTTCTTCAGGTACCACCACTTGGCCAGGTTCTTCAGGTACCACCACTTGGCCAGGTTCTTCAGGTACCACCACTTGGCCAGGTTCTTCAGGTACCACCACTTGTCCAGGTTCTTCAGGTACCAACCACTTGGCCCGTTCTTCAGGTACCACCACTTGGCCAGGTTCTTCAGGTACCACCACTTGGCCAGGTTCTTCAGGTACCACCACTTGTCCAGGTTCTTCAGGGACCACCACTTGTCCAGGTTCTTCAGGTACCACCACTTGGCCAGGTTCTTCAGGTACCACCACTTGGCCAGGTTCTTCAGGTACCACCACTTGGCCAGGTTCTTCAGGTACCACCACTACCAAGTGAACCATGATACATCATCTCTCATTCCTACAATCTTGTGGGACGGTTATACTCAGAAATATATTTAACTGAACTTTCCTTAAATATAGTCGAAGTTTTACACCTTATTTCTCCAATATTTATCTCCACCCCATTCATGGTAACTTATAGAATATATCCCCCCATTATCTCCACCCCATTCATGGTAACTTATAGAATATATCCCCCATTATCTCCACCCCATTCATGGTAACTTATAGAATATATCCCCCATTATCTCCACCCCATTCATGGTAACTTATAGAATATATCCCCCATTATCTCCACCCCCATTCATGGTAACTTATAGAATAATCCCCCATTATCTCCACCCCCATTCATGGTAACTTTTAGAAAAATACCCCCATTATCTCCACCCCATTCATGGTAACTTATAGAATATATCCCCCATTATCTCCACCCCATTCATGGTAACTTATAGAATATATCCCCCATTATCTCCACCCCATTCATGGTAACTTATAGAATATATCCCCCATTATCTCCACCCCATTTATGGTAACTTATAGAAAAATATCCCCCATTATCTCCACCCCATTCATGGTAACTTATAGAATATATCCCCCATTATCTCCACCCCATTCATGGTAACTTATAGAACACATTCCTCATTATCTCCTGACCAGAGATTTTATCTCTGGTCGGGAGATTAGTTAATACCTCCCACTAATACTCCCCACTAATACATCCCACTGATATTTCCCACTAATACTTCCCACTAACACTCCCCACTGATACTTCCCATCAGTTACAATCTTCCCTATAATCTCCCCCCCACCAGCCTCTCACATAATATAATTATCTGCTTCAATAACCAAACTTTAGTGGACTTGTTACCTGTCACATAATATAATTATCTGCTTCAATAACCAAACTTTAGTGGACTTGTTACCTCTCACATAATATAATTATCTGCTTCAATAACCAAACTTTAGTGGACTTGTTACCTCTCACATAATATAATTATCTGCTTCAATAACCAATCTTTAGTGGACTTGTTACCTGGAAATACCTTACAAGTGGGCCCCGCCCACCTTTGACAACATCTCCAGCTGCTGCATCTCCACATACCTGGAGTAACCCAGGTTAATGTTGCTGTGTTGATCAATGTTGCAGCAGACACAGCTTGGTACATCAGTTACCACACCTGCAACATTATAATCAACATTACACATAGAAGGCGCAAGTTCCTTGGATCAAGAGACTTTAGGTTATTTTTCAGTAAAGTAAATATCACAGAGCTGGACACAAGCAATAGTGAGGATATATTACCAAAAACAAATGGTGGGAGCTCCATTGTTGGTGCTAGGGAGGATAGAAGTAAGACAGGGAAACATGCACCAACAGGGAATACAGTCACAGAAACCCAAGGCAAACGGAAACCAAGCCTGTGCACATACTATGCACTCGGTATCTGCTGGCATGGGAAATCTGGAAAAACAGATGGGACGTGCAACTATGACCACCCTAGGAAATGCCATGCCCATATGACAACAGGAAAATGCAAACTCCCTTCCTGTAAGCTTTTTCACCCTGAACTGTGTACCTCTTCAGTACAGGAAAGACTGTGCTATAACTTAAATTGCCAGGCATACCATCTAAAGGGGACAAAAAGATACAAAACATCCAGGCCATGGGAAAACCTGGGTAGCCACAGCCACTCAAGAGGGAGAGGTTTTTTAGTGCCAGGAAGGAAAAAAAACTGGCAGGAAATGGCAGAAATCGTACACCAAATCCAGTCATTCCTGGAGTGGAACCACAGTCGATGGCCTCCACTCCAAACCAACAGATACAGATACTAATGCCGGAAAAAAAATCCCCCCCCAGTACCAACAATACCACCAGTCCGATAACATTCTTCTTTGCAAATATACAGGGTCTAAAGCCAGCAACAAACAACAAAATACCTTTCATCCGTGGACTGCTTGCAGAGGCAAAGGCAATGTTCGCGGCTTTCACTGAGACCCACATAAAGGATCACTTGGACAACGAAATATGGATCCCAGGTTACAACCTATACAGATGTGACAGAGTGAACAGGCAAAAGGGGGGGTTGGCCTGTACATTGCAGAGTCACTTGTTTGCCACAGAACTGCTAAATGCCTCAAATGATGTAGTGGAAGTTTTAGCAGTAAAGGTCGAGAACCAAAACCTAGTCATTGTGATAGTCTACAAGCCTCCGGATGCAACATCCCAGCAATTCCAGAACAGCTGTTAAAAATTGACCACTGTCTGGAAATCCCCCAGCTCCTGCACCCAATATCTGTGCTCCTGGGGGATTTCAACTTAAGGCACCTAAAATGGAGGAATATAGCAAATAATATTGTTGCAGTAATAACACCAGAGGCAGCTCTGATGAAAACTCACACTCACGCGAGCTTTTAAATCTCTGCACAAAATTCAATTTAAACCAGCAAATAATAGACCCTACTAGACTGAGAATACACTAGACCTCATCTTCACTAACAATGATGATCTGATAAGAAAAAATCACCATATCAAAAACAATATACTCAGATCACAACATAATTGAGGTTCAGTCATGTATGCGCGGAGCCCCAACCGACATAAGGAGATTAGTCACGAGGGAGCATTCACCAAATTCAACTTCAATAACAAAAACATAAAGTGGGACCAAGTAAACCAAGTCCTAACCGATATAAGCTGGGAAGATATACTAAGCAACACAGACCCCAACTTATGCCTAGAAACAGATTAACTCGGTAGAAACTCGATGTATGCACAAGGCTTATTCCTCTAAGAAAAAGGAGGAGTAGATGTAAAACAGAAAGAGACAGGCGCTCCCATTACAGGCGACGGAAAAGAATAACAGAGCGGCTAAAAGAGGTCAATATATCTGAAATGCGTAGGGAGACACTGGTCAGAGAAATAGCAAGCATCGAACTTAAGCTAAAAGAATCCTTTAGGAGTCAGGAATCGCGGGAAGAACTAAAAGCCATAAATGAAATCGAAAGAAACCCAAAGTATTTCTTCTCCTATGCCAAATCAAAATCGAGAACAACGTCCAGTATTGGGCCCCTACTTAAACAAGATGGGTCCTACACAGATGACAACAAGGAAATGAGTGAGCTACTCAAGTCCCAATATGACTCAGTTTTTAGCAAGCCGCTAACCAGACTGAGAGTCGAAGATCAAAATGAATTTTTATGAGAGAGCACAAAAATTTGATTAACACAAGCCTATCCGATGTTATCCTGACGCCAAATGACTTCGAACAGGCGATAAATGACATGCCCATGCACTCTGCCCCAGGGCCAGACTCATGGAAACCTGTGTTCATCAAGAACTGCAAGAAGCCCCTATCACGAGCCTTTTCCATCCTATGGAGAGGGAGCATGGACACGGGGGTCGTCCCACAGTTACTAAAAACAACAGACATAGCCCCACTCCACAAAGGGGCAGTTAAAGCAACAGCAAAGAACTACAGACCAATAGCACTAACATCCCATATCATAAAAATCTTTGAAAGGGTCCTAAGAAGCAAGATCACCACGCATCTAGAAGCCCATCAGTTACACAACCCAGGGCAACATGGTTTAGAACAGGTCGCTCCTGTCTGTCTCAACTATTGGACCACTACGACAAGGTCCTAAATGCACTAGAAGACAAAAAGAATGCAGATGTAATATATACAGACTTTGCAAAAGCCTCGACAAGTGTGACCATGGCGTAATAGCGCACAAAATGCGTGCTAAAGGAATAACAGGAAAAGTCGTCGATGGATCTATAATTTCCTCACTAACGAACACAGAGAGTAGTCGTCAACAGAGTAAAGTCCGAGGCAGCTACGGTGAAAAGCTCTGTTCCACAAGGCACAGTACTCGCTCCCATCTTGTTCCTCATCCTTATATCCGACATAGACAAGGATGTCAGCCACAGCACCGTGTCTTCCTTTGCAGATGACACCCGAATCTGCATGACAGTGTCTTCCATTGCAGACACTGCAAAGCTCCAGGCAGACATCAACCAAATCTTTCAGTGGGCTGCAGAAAACAATATGAAGTTCAACGATGAGAAATTTCAATTACTCAGATATGGTAAACATGAGGAAATTAAAATCTTCATCAGAGTACAAACAAATTCTGGCCACAAAATAGAGCGAAACACAACGTCAAAGACCTGGGAGTGATCATGTCGGAGGATCTCACCTTCAAGGACCATAACATTGTATCAATCGCATCTGCTAGAAAAATGACAGGATGGATAATGAGAACCTTCAAAACTAGGGAGGCCAAGCCCATGATGACACTCTTCAGGTCACTTGTTCTATCTAGGCTGGAATATTGCTGCACACTAACAGCACCTTTCAAGGCAGGTGAAATTGCCGACCTAGAAAATGTACAGAGAACTTTCACGGCGCGGATAACGGAGATAAAACACCTCAATTATTGGGAGCGCTTGAGGTTCCTAAACCTGTATCCCTGGAACGCAGGAGGAGAGATACATGATTATATACACCTGGAAAATCCTAGAGGGACTAGTACCGAACTTGCACACGAAAATCACCCACTACGAAACAAAAGACTTGGCAGACGATGCACCATCCCCCCAATGAAAAGCAGGGGTGTCACTAGCACGTTAAGAGACCATACAATAAGTGTCAGGGGCCCGAGACTGTTCAACTGCCTCCCAGCACACATAAGGGGGATTACCAACAGACCCCTGGCAGTCTTCAAGCTGGCACTGGACAAGCACCTAAAGTCAGTTCCGGATCAGCCGGGCTGTGGCTCGTATGTTGGTTTGCGTGCAGCCAGCAGCAACAGCCTGGTTGATCAGGCTCTGATCCACCAGGAGGCCTGGTCTCAGACCGGGCCGCGGGGGCGTTGACCCCCGGAACTCTCTCCAGGTAAACTCCAGGTAAACATTATGGGTTATGTGACACCTAATGTGAGAGTTGTTTGATCCGAGGAAGGGGAGTACCTCCAGTTCCTCGCATCAAAACCCCCTCCACTAGGGTCCCCCCCGGCCCCCCTCCAAAACATTAGACCCCAAAGAAAATTAAGACAATTTAGTGAGCAAACTGGTGGTGGGACCAGGAGCTGTACTGGTACTGGGGACCAGAGCTGCAACTGGTACCGGGGACCAGGAGCATGCAACTGTACCGGGACCAGGAGCTGCAACTGGTACCGGGGACCAGGAGCTGCAACTGGTACCGGGACCAGGAGCTGCCACTGGTACCGGGACCAGGTGCTGCCACTGGTACCGGGGACCAGGAGCTGCCACTGGTACCGGGACCCAGGAGCTGCAACGGTACTGGGGACCAGGAGCTGCAACTGGTACTGGGACCATAGCTGCAACTGGTACCGGGGACCAGGAGCTGCAACTGGTACCGGGGACCAGGAGCTGCAACTGGTACCGGGGACCAGGAGCTGCAACTGGTACCAGGGACCAGGTGCTGCCACTGGTACCGGGGACCAGGAGCTGCCACTGGTACCAGGGACCAGGAGCTGCCACTGGTACTGGGGACCAGGAGCTGCAACTGGTACTGGGGACCAGGAGCTGCAACTGGTACTGGGGACCAGGAGCTGCAACTGGTACTGGGGACCAGGAGCTGCAACTGGTACTGGGGACCAGGAGCTGCAACTGGTACCGGGGACCAGGAGCTGCAACTGGTACCGGGGACCAGGAGCTGCAACTGGTACCAGGGACCAGGAGCTGCAACTGGTACTGGGGACCAGGAGCTGCAACTGGTACCAGGGACCAGGAGCAGCAACTGGTACTGGGGACCAGGAGCTGCAACTGGTACCAGGGACCAAGAGCTGCAACATACTGGGGACCAGCAGCTGTATTTGGTGCCAGGGACCAGGAGCTGCAACTGGTACCAGGGACCAGGAGCTACAACTGGTACTGGGTCACAGACCGGGCCGCGGGGGCGTTGACCCCCGAAACTCTCTCCAGGTAAACTCCAGGGGACCAGGAGCTGTAATTGGTGGTGGGAGACCAGGAGCTGCAACTGGTACTGGGGACCAGGAGCTGCAACTGGTACTGGGGACCAAGAGCTGCAACTGGTACCGGGGACCAGGAGCTGTAATTGGTGCTGGGAACCAGGAGCTGTAATTGGTGGTGGGAGACCAGGAGCTGCAACTGGTACTGGGGACCAGGAGCTGCAACTGGTACTGGGGACCAGGAGCTGCAATTGTTACTGGGGACCAGGAGCTGTATTTGGTGCCAGGGACCAGGAGCTGTAATTGGTGCTGGGAACCAGGAGCTGTAATTGGTGCCAGGAACCAGTAGCTGCAACTGGTGGAGGGAGACCAGGAGCTGCAACTGGTGGCGGGAGACCAGGAGCTGCAACTGGTGGCGGGAGACCAGGAGCTGCAACTGGTGGTGGGAGACCAGGAGCTACAACTCAGCTGTTGTACTGACAAACACATCACCAGACAATACTTACATTATTTAGGTGTATTAAGAGGGTGAGGAAGCGGTAAAGCCGGCGGGGCAGCAGGAGGAGGAGCAACACGTCTCTCCTGGACGACTATTAAAGGTTAACTGACCTTTAGTGACCTTGAGGTTGGTCACTGTCCTGACCTTCACTATAACACCATCACTGATAACCTGACTAACTCTGACTACCACCACTAGATGGCACTACTAAACCACCACTCTTACCACCACTAGATGGCACTGCTATACCACCACTCTTACCACCACTCTTACCACCACTAGATGGCACTGCTACACCACCACTCTTACCACCACTAGATGGCACTACTAAACCACCACTCTTACCACCACTAGATGGCACTGCTACACCACCACTCTTACCACCACTAGATGGCACTGCTACACCACCACTCTTACCACCACTAGATGGCACTACTAAACCACCACTCTTACCACCACTAGATGGCACTGCTACACCACCACTCTTACCACCACTAGATGGCACTACTAAACCACCACTCTTACCACCACTTGGGCAGGAATAGGAAACAAAAACCCTCCACTATAAATAACAATAAAAACCAATGTAAATACTATAATGATCCACAGCTGCGCAATCTAACACATGCAGCTAGGAGGATTGGTAAAGCATACCGTGAATGTAGAACCCCAGACCTGCTCAGAACGTTCCAAGCTGCACTAACAAATGCAAGGAATAGAAAGGAAGAACTTAGGCAACAGGAATGCGAACAGTTTGTTAGTGGATTAAATAGGTCCACCCCTTTGAGTTTGGTTTGGGAAAGGTATAAATAAAATAACCAGGAAAAAGACGAAATGTTCCCTCATCCCTTTCCTCTTGAAAAAGCAAATGACCTCATAAATGACTGGTCCAAAACATCCAGGCATGAAAGCCTTCCATCTCATTTTAAAAAAAAATTTAGAGAGTACTTCTGAAGAAATGTTGAAACTGATTAATTTTTATGACCAAAATATTGATTGAGAGTGTTTTGCCTCTTTACCGAGTATGAATTAGATAATGCATTAACCAAAGGTCGATCAACGCTCCGGGAGAGGATGGATAACCTATGAAAATTCCAGAACTCTAAGGCACGTGCCTGAAAACCCCTTTGTTGGCACTGTATAAACTCAGTTACATTGAGGGCGTTCTTCCTACTTCCTGGACCAATAGTCTCATTGTGCCTATCCCTAAGCCCCAACAGCCTGAATACATTAGGCCGATCTCCTTAACTAGTTGTCTTTGTAAAATTTTTGAAAGAATGATGCTTAACAGACTGTACTACAGATACACACCAACTTTCCCCCTACCTCTATGGGTTCATAAAGGGTAAAAGTGTGCAGAACTGTATTTCCACCTTTCTCACTGCACACACCTCTACTAGTTTACCACTTTTCCTTGATCTAAAAATCTGCATTTGATATTGCGAACAGAACCGTTAAACTACATGAACTAGCCAAAATGAATATTGTGGTAGCTTACTCTGCTGGATAATAGGATACCTGTCAAATAATACCTCTGTCCTTCCCCAAGGGCTTCAGAAGTGATTCTAAAGAAATGTCTTTAGGTTACACACGCGGGGAGAGTTCTTAGTCCATGCTATTTAATATTCTGATTAATGCTCTCCTAAATGCTCTACCTGCCTCACCTAAACATATAGCTATAAGCTATGCTGATGATATCAGATCCATACAACAGGGCATAAGAAAAATGAATCCCAAATTCTAATGAAGTTCAAGAAATTTTGTAATCGACTAGGCCTCATAAACTTCCTCTAAAACTAAGATATTAACAACAAACGACATCCCCCACCCATCTATTTGCAGGTGAAATCATTAGCTACGTTAAAACTTACAGATATCTTGGTGTAGATGTACCCTTAAACAAATCCACTATACCACAACTAAACAAGAAATGTAAAGCTAGGCTAAATGCTCTCAAAGCTGTTGCGGGCTACAACCCCAACTATGGTCTAATGTTGCTGGCTACAACCCCAACTATGGTGCTAATGTTGCTGGCTACAACCCCAACTATGGTGCTAATGTTGCTGGCTACAATCCCAACTATGGTGCAAATGTGAGAATCGTGAGAATGTTGATATTAGCTAGAGAAAGTTCTCTCCGACCCTTGGAGTTAATGCAAAATGAAGCTCTCAGGATTATTCTTCGCTGTCCCAGATCTACAAAAGTTCTTAACATGAGGAAGGAGCTTGGTATTTCTAGTATCAGTGATAGGATTGTTGAAATTAACACTGAAACTCGTATTAAAATGTTGAAAACGAACCAACACGTCACAGTGAACTTACCAAGTGTCTAGAGGTAAATACACACAGATCTAAATGGATGTGAAAACGTGCAATGCATTAAGTTTTTATAACCTCATGAACTGTATCACTGTGCAACAAGAGCATTTCACCCCTCCAGAAGATGTGTTCATTTAATATCACATACCTACAATCCCTCCCAAGAAGCTCATTGCTAGTAATCCCTTCCTTAAATCTCTTGTTAGAGCAACTGCTCAAGAAGAAATTTTTAAACCTAGCTGGTAGTAACAGTTATCACAAGTTAAATACACTGATGGGTCAAACAGGGGTCCTTCTGGCAGGCTGCATCGCTCTTGTTTCCACCTCCCAGTTAAGAACGATAATAAATTTTTGATTAGGCATAAGAATTAACAACTGGGCGTCTACACTGCAAACTGAATTGTTTGCAATCCTAATGGCGCTAAAGCTAACCTAGACACTGAAAATTGACTCGATCATCATTACTGATTCTATGTCATCATTGAAAGGGTCTTGGCTCATATAAAAGACTCCAAAAACATGCCATTGGGAAGCCAGGTATAGATACTCAAAATTAGGGACAAAAGGGAAATTTAAAGTACAATTGCTATGGATCCATCACACATTGGATTAAATCCTTCATGATAAAGTTGATATGTTAGCCAAAAGGGGTATCGAGAAGGAGAATGTAGAATATAACTTTGGTATAACTGTCTAGCATTAGGAATAATATTAGGAGAGAAGTAAATAATGAAAATGATTGTTAAGGAATGCAGTTAGAAAACCTGAGAAATCATAACCCCACTATGATAACATAACGTAGAAAAAGTATTTTATGGAGCAACGTGCAATGTAACAGACGACGATGTTGTAGTGGCCAGGCTTAGGCTTGGTTACAAGTACTTCGCAGTTTTGGGAGAGACACAGATGATGAAACAAACTAAATGTAAATTATGTGATCAGGCATATTTCACTCTCTTTAACACTATGTTGCTTAATTGTCCACTATTGAGGAAAACAGAGACAGACAGCATAATAACCTATGTGACATGTCAAAAAATACTTATTAATGAAAATAAGAATACCAGTATACTAACAAATTTCCTAAATTGCTTGTAACAGATAATGAACAAAAGATATGTAGATATAAATCCATATGTATTCCTGTTAAACCCTTTTGGGGCCTAGTTTCCTAGGCCTTTTGTGTATCCATATGCTCTTTCCACAAACCGCCACAGATGGATATGGGTGCACAATAAACTAGCCCCTTCGGTGGCAAAATCTAATCTAATCTAATCTTAAACCCCCACTAATGGGACTGCTACAAACCACCAACCTTACCACCCACTAATGGCACTACTAAACCACCACTCTTACCACCACTAATGCACTGCTACAACCCCCCACCTTACCACCACTAATGGGACTGCTACACCACTACTCTTACCACCACAGATGGCACTGCTACACCACCACTCTTACCACCAAATAGATGGCACTGCTACACCACCACTCTTACCACCACTAGAAAGGCACTGTTACACCACCACTCTTACCACCACTAGATGACACTACTAAACCACCACTCTTACCACCACTAAATGGCACTGCTACACCACCACTCTTACCACCACTAGATGGCACTGTTACACCACCATTCTGACCACCACTAGATGGCACTACTAAACCACTCTTACCACCACTAGATGGCACTGCTACACCACCACTCTTACCACCACTAGATGGCACTGCTACACCACCATGCTTACCACCACTAGATGGCACTGTTACACCACCACTCTTACAACCACTAGATGGCACTGCTACACCACCACTCTTACCACCACTAGATGGCACTGCTACACCACCCCTACTACCACCACTAGATGGCACTGCTACACCACCGCTCTTACCACCACTAGATGGCACTGCTACACCACCACTCTTACCACCACTAGATGGCACTGCTACACCACCATGCTTACCACCACTAGATGGCACTGTTATGCCACCACTCTTACAACCACTAGATGGCACTGCTACACCACCACTCTTACCACCACTAGATGGCACTGCTACACCACCCCTACTACCACCACTAGATGGCACTGCTACACCACCGCTCTTACCACAACTAGATGGCACTGCTACACCACCACTCTTACCACCACTAGATGGCACTGCTACACCACCACTCTTACCACCACTAGATGGCACTGCTACACCACCACTCTTACCACCACTAGATGGCACTGCTACACCACCACTCTTACCACCACTAGATGGCACTGCTAAACCACCACTCTTACCACCATTAGATGGCACTGCTACACCACCACTCTTACCACCACTAGATGGCACTGCTACACCACCACTCTTACCACCACTAGATGGCACTGCTACACCACCACTCTTACCACCACTAGATGGCACTACTAAACCACCACTCTTACCACCACTAGATGGCACTGCTACACCACCACTCTTACCACCACTAGATGGCACTGCTACACCACCACTCTTACCACCACTAGATGGCACTGCTCCCACCACCACTCTTACCACCACTAGATGGCACTGCTACACCACCACTCTTACCACCACTAGATGGCACTGCTACACCACCACTCTTACCACCACTAGATGGCACTGCTACACCACCACTCTTACCACCACTAGATGGCACTGCTACAACCACCACTCTTACCACCATTAGATGGCACGCTACACCACCACTCTTACCACCACTAGATGGCACTGCTACACCACCACTCTTACCACCACTAGATGGCACTGCTACACCACCACTCTTACCACCACTAGATGGCACTACTAAACCACCACTCTTA